AAGATGGCTGTAGGTAGCAGCATGGGGACAGCAACAACCCTGCAAGTCTCAAGTCCCAGCGTTAGCGTTATAGGGTCCTCAGTAGTGTTACCCTTGGACTTGTGGGCATGGATTACGCATGTGACTGCCAGGTCTAACACAGAGAGAAACGGGTCAGTCTCAGAACACCTGCCTGGTGTTTCCTGCTGTGTCAACACTGCAGTGCTACTAACACAACAGCAGGAATCATTTCACCACAGCCCAGCATATATTCCTTCTCAGAAACCTGCCCATCGTCAGGCCATCCGCCAGGACAAACACATACTGAAGTTACCACAAGGGCCACATAGCCATTCCTTTATCCCGGGACTCTGAACATTTGTACCTGGCCCTCTGAGAGAAAACGAAGCAATCACAGCAGAAGAGCTAACTGGCAAATGAAGTAACTGTTTGGACTCTAAGGGGGAATGTGTCTCACTAGATTTCATTTCCTTCAGGAAATATAAAAGTAAGTGGAAAGGTAGCCCAGCACTAGAACACTCGCCTAGTGTGTGAAGGGCCCTGCGTTTGATCCCCAGCACCGCAAAACAGCAGTTTCCAGATGTTAGGACAGCCTAGGGGAAGTTCATTCTGCCCCTTCCCCACAATGTCTGCCTTCTGCTGTTATCTGTGTCCTTGAAGCACTGAGCTCAGACACAGACCGGCACAGATGTGACCGGGGTTGCACGGGTTCCTCACAGGAGAACTCCTTCCATTCTCTCTGGGCATTTTCTACCCATCTCGGCACTCGTCTGAATGAAAATCCAGCCACCCCAGGTAGCTAAGGGAGATGTGGGCACCATCTCCCTTCCCTGTGGCTCGGTGCCCCAAGTCTAGGGAGAGTGAACCAGACTCTCCACTGGGATAGACGTGCATTCGTTCCCCTTGCAGGAAAGGTGAACAGAAATCATTTATCTAAACAGAGTAATAGAAATAAACAAACCTTTCAAAAACAATCACAAGATTTACAAACAAATTGGTACAAAATAAATAGGTATTGTAAATCTACAACATTTGAATTATAAACGCGCCCATCATGACAGTGGGCTTGTGAAGCCTGTGCACGTGGCCTGTGCCCATGTAGCTTTTCCATTGATGCCACTGCTCAAATGCATGAAATGTACACCAAGGTACAGTGGGCAAGCTAAGGAGGGTGCGGGTAATCGGACAAAGCAGGGCTTGCTTTAGGCCCAGTGCAGTGTTGGTAACTGGCTCATGACACCAGGAAGACGCATGTTAAGAGCCTAGATGGGCGGGCAGCTTCTGTGACACAGGCACGTTCAGCAAGCCAAGGTGAGAAGTAGAGGCCGTCATTTGGGGACCAGGAAACTGATATGGTTTGGGTAGTGATGGGGAAGAAACCGCTTCTGCAGTAACTCATGGAGACTTGAGATGGTCTGCCTCCACCTACCTCCCAAATACTGGCCGTCAGGAATGGGTGGGGCAGGGCAGGAGCTGATGGGAGAGCAGCATCAATGCGGTTCTCTCCTCTGAAGTGGAGTACCACCACCCTCTCGCCCAGTGAGGGAGAGCCCTAGGCTCCATGGGTGAGGGGCTTTAAAGTCGTCGTCACAGATGATGCGAACAGTAGACATATGTACATAATAAATAATATAAAATAAAGCATATACATTTGTGGATTTAAAGGACTGGAAAAATAAGAAAAGTCAGTGGATTGATAGACTCTTCACAGTAGACCAGACGTGGGTAGTAGTGTTCAGAAACTAGGTGGGGGCTGACTAGGGAATGTGTCCAAAGAATCGTTCTTCGCCAATTCCCTCTGTTCTAGGGGCCTGGGACCCAGCTGTTTGTATGTAAGAAACCAAGTCTCAAAGAAGAGTGGGCACTCAGGTCTGTGAGGCCCCTTTGATAGTTCTCTTGAGTGATTCCAGAAGAATCCAGCCCCCTTAGTAAATGCTTGTGGATCAGATTGAGTCATCAGAAGGGGCCTTTCCAGGTGAGGCCAGACAGTACCTCGTCTGAAGTCACGGTTGACTCAGCTCTCCTAGGCGTCACAGCTATGTACATACAAACACCTAGAACGTGACTCTCCTGCCATCTTGATATTGCTTCACACCTAGAACGTGACTCTCCTGCCATCTTGATATTGCTTCAAGTACTGCCTGGAATTCCTCCAAAGGTATTTAAAACAATCGCATTGAGATGTCTCAATGGCTCTGGTATAAAAAGGTTGCCCGAGCTACGTAGGTCACAGGAAACTAAGAAAGAAAGGTCCCCAGCTGCTGACGTAGCTGCTGTGAAGGACTGCCCCCTCTGCCTGACTGGACTCCCTAGAAAGAAAACCAGTAAGTTAGTGCTGACTCCGGGAGGGGTGCAGAAGTGCTGGAGAAAGGCCCCGCCCTGGAATGCTACCCATCCCTCAAGTAGAAGTGAACCTCAACGAGTTCATCTTGCCCATCAGCCACGCAGACACAAAAGCAAATGGCCCTGAGGTATAAAAACTCACAGGTTACTCACTGGTAAATTTATATGGGAAAAAACCCGAACACCCCAGTCCCTTTCCTATTCACCTCTAAGCTCCTCTAATTCTGGGCTAGCCTACAGCTTACCCAGTTCTCCTAGGCACAAGCTTAGGCCCAGAATGGAAGCGAACAGCCCAGGAAATTCTAGTCCCAGTAAGAAAGGGCCCAAGGCCTCAAGACCTTCACAGGAAAAGCACTTCTTGGGTCAGAGCTGGGAGGGGAGCTGTGTCAAGCCACCAGGGAGTTTAGGCTACACGGCATGTTCTAAGAAGTCTGCTCTCTCAGGCCTGCTCTTCAGTCCAGGGACAAGGTGTATACGTTGCACCAGTTACCCTGCCTGGGTTCGCCCCTGGGTGCAGGCACAGGGACTGTGTGTGGCATCACAGATCCCTGGCAGCTTCAGAGGACAGAGGTGCCTGGGTGTTTTAATATCCAGGACACAGGCTCACTCACTCACCTCTTCCTACTTGGTTTGCTTCTTAACCCAAATAACATGAGGCCCCTGCTTAAAGTCCCGTTGCTCCATTTCTTAAGGGAAATGCATTTGGACCTGCCATGTTTTCCTGGACATGGAAAAACTGGTCCTTGAGCTGTGCAGAGCTGGGGACGCAAGGTGATTTTTCACAGTTGTGTTCCGTATCATTGTGAAGGTCTGCACTGAGCACCTGCACACGCTTCGTGGAGTAACATGAGAAAATGGTGTGCGGCCCAGCTCCCTTCACGCGAGGGCAACCACCCCGTGGAGACTACGACAGAGGCGGCACCTTCAAATTAAGAACCAGTTTGATCTACTTGACTAGCACCCGACACTCATGCATAAATCTGAGGATTCTGCTTTCCCAAGGCCTTAATTGTCAAGGGTTTGGACTTGCCCGGTGGACAAAGGGCAGAGGAGTGAGGCCCTCATCGACAGTGAACGCTCTGGTCACATCTGCACACAAGGCTGCCCTGTCCTCTGGCTGGCAGCAGTGGCCCCAGTGGAGCAGGGGGTAGGCCCATAGCCACCCGAGGCTGGCCTGCCTGCCCTACCCCAGCCTCCGCCCTCCACGCTCACACACACTGCAGTCTGGGAGCACTCAGGCCAGAGCGCAAGGGAGGAGACACTGACCGCCATCCCACTACCTGCCAGGCTTCCTTGGCTGGGAAGCCCATGGGCTCAGGCCACAGAGGGTATGTGCCCTTCCTGGACAAGACAGTTATGCTGCCCCAGAGAAGTGTCTCTCCTTCAGTGTCTAAGGAGTCTGGGGGAGGGGAGACCTGAAGAATCAGTCACTCAGGTGCCAGCCCTGTTTGAAGGTTGAGAACTCTCCACAGAGCCAGTTCACCTCCGTGCACGTGGGGCCTGCGGAGGAACGACTCTGATTCCTGGTTACAAGAGCTGAGTGACTACTCAAAGGTAACTGGATCGTTAATGGGAAATGGTCACAACGCTGGCGAGCCGCAGTCTCCGTCTTTGAGAGCCCCCTTCCAGCTGCTCTGTGAGAGGACTCTACAGTGGGCAGCCGCACCAGGCGGTGGCTGATGCTCTCAGCCCCTACTCTTAACTCATCGCTAGGGTCCACACAAAGGGAACCCAGAGTGCTTCTCTCCCACAGGACCCTTCCAGCAGCGAGGATGCCTGAGGCAGATGCCCACAGTGCCCGAGAGGCTGACAGGTGTGTGTGCCACCAGAGCCTCGGTGAGCTCCTGGCTCCCCAGGCCTCAGGTGGAGGCTTACTGTGGAGAGAGAGGCCCCAGCCTTGGCCAAACAGTTTGCATCTGCACACATTATGCTCCTTAGAAAATGGATTTTTAAAAACTTGGATATGTTTGAGAAGAGGGTCGCTCACAGTATGGGGTTCCATATGGTAGGCCCTCCATCCCAAGGGGCCAGTAGCAGGCCACTCAGAAGCCTTAGAGGCCACCCCATGACCCCCCACTAAGTGAGGCCACCCCACCCCCTTTCTATCAGACATGGTCTTTCCTGAGAACTCTCCAGGACCACACCTAGGGTTAACACTGTCAGCGGACATGGCACCAGAGGCCTGAACCCAGGTGTAGCAATCATAGGACACTAGCCAAGCATGCCCAAGGCCGTGGGTTCCACCACACACACACACACACACACACACACACACACACACACACACACACACACACACACACACACACACACACACGTCCAGTCACCAACTGTTTACCGGGAGAACAACTTAACATGTCACCCTCCCAGAGCCTCCCAGTTGGCGGACCTCCTACCTGAGGGAGGAGGCTGATGTTGAGCCTTAGGGCAGGAAGCCAGGCACAGGGGACCCTGTCTTCTCCAGCAGTGACCTGGGTACTGAGAGCCTATCAAACATTCTGTCAGCATTCACTTCAGGGTAGGAGTATCGCCAGCAAACGCAAGGAACCACTTACCCAAAGAAGCTAGTTACGGATCCAGTCACCCCAACAGTACCCGCTGGCATGAACTTCACAACACATGGTACATTTGGTATTAAAATAAGACAGAGACACACATGAAATGGTCACAACACACATTTGGTTTCTGAATCCGTTTGGGGTCAAACTGACTGGATATATGAGCAGCCCTCTCTGGCACTGGTCACAGCTGAAGCAAGATGCACCTTGAGCAGGGCCACTGCCACTTCTGGGCCCACAGCCAGGGACAAGATGGGAGGGGGCGGGACAGGCAATCCCTTGTCCTTCCATTAAAAGCATGGGTTCAGAAATGCCCAAGTGCATAGCCCACCCCACCCTCCCCTGCCTCATTCTGGTAATTCACGAATCCCAGTGGGAAGGAGGCACTCACGGAGCTGCCACACCACGTGCTCAGAAGACACCCCACTTGGCACCTGGAGCAGCAGCTCGGGTTAGCAAGAGTGGGAGTTGAGAAGGTTTGGGGTGGCTCAGCTGATGCCCCAGGTCACCCCAGGTTACAGGAATGTGGGTGAAGTCAACTTGCCTCTTGCCAATGATAAACCATGGGTTTAAAATTCATTAACATTCATTTTGGTGATAAAAATTCCTTAGGGTGGGAGCGAAATCACATTCCCAAGCAAACGCTAACCCTTCCTGAGGGAGAGGGACACAGTTAGACATTTTCCAAACAACACTGTGCAGAGGGGCGTCTGCCACCCACAGTGACAACAGACTTGGCACGTTCCTCAGTGACATGGTTTTCTTCATTCATCCGTCAAGTTCGACAGCGACACCCACCGGCACACAGAGGAAAGACAGCCTTCCTGGGGACGGCCAAAGAAGGCCACTCAAGGGGCAAGTCCAGCCTGATAGGGTCACATCATGGGATCACAGCAGAGTTAGCTCAGACAGACCAACTTAAAACTCTGCAAAAGACACTTAAAAACAAAAACATGATCTCTTGAAAAAAATAAATGAAACAATTTTTAAATTCATGCAAATTGAGGGAGGAAAGAAATGATAAAAGGTACTGAAAAAATAAACATGATTCTATTTGGGCGGAAGAAGTTTGTCTCCGAATTCTTGAAAGCCATGCCCCAGCTGTCGATGTCCCGTGTCTAGCTAGCTTCCAGCCCTCCCATGCCGTCCTCTGCAGCCTCCGGGGAAAGGGGCAGAGTCTTTGGTCTCAATGCTGTAGGTCGCAGCATGGCAGACAAGCTCACACTAGTGGGAGTCATGGTCAGACAGGCCAGGAGGCCCAACAAGGAGGTCCCGAGGGCCCTAGATGGTGCCTTCACTGTGCAGGCTGTGGTTGGCCTTGTTGTGTGACACACAGTTCTGTTCATTGAGCAAGTTGGCCGTCTCGTCCGGCAACCCGTCATGCAGCTCCGTGAGAGTCAATTCAATTTTAGTGTTTTCACTGTCTGAAGACTGAGGGGTTTTGTCCATCCGGGACGCCATCAAGGCATTTTGGTACTGCTGTCTGGAGATCTGGGGCCAGAAGAGGACACAGAAAACAGAGACACCCCTTAATGTCAGGTTCTCTTATATAGTATAGCATCACACACTGAACATCCCCAAAGGCCCAGCGCTCTAGAAAACCATCCTTGTGTAGAAACTGGGCAACTCTGAAGTTTAGGTTGACCCCAGGCAAGTCGGTTCTCCCTGGAACCGTTTCTGCATCTTGCCTCTGAGGCTCACGCTAGAAAAGTGGAAATCAGTTTCTGTCAGCTGAAGTGGCTTTGGCCTCCAAAAGATGTCTACTTGAGACTAGGAGAAGAGCCTGTCCCCAGGGCCCCGCTGGCTCTTCCCCTCATCCCCAGTTCCTGTCACCTGCCAAGACCACGCTCGTTTTGGCTGCTCACGGCCTGGAACCGAGATCAATGTGTTTTCCAGCCTGTGTCCGGGCCCAGGACGCAGAGGGAATGGGCGGTACCTGCCGGATCCCGCCAGCCCGCCCTGCCCCACTCACCTTGACAAACTGCAGGTCAGAGAGGGCTCGCACTGAGTAGTCCGGGATGTAGACCTGCAGGAAGGAGGAGCTGAGCTGGTTGTTGCTGCTGCCCAAGGTCGGCGTCATGGCGTCAATCCGGTCACTTCGACTGAGAGAGTCTGAGTGGTTCAGGCCACAGGGGCGAGGAGGTGACTTGTTTTCACCTAGAAAAGGGAGAATACACACTTACAGCACCGTGGGTACAGCCACTGGGGAGCAGTTACTCCAAACCAAAGTCACACGGTCTGGGTAGAAAGGCAGGCTCGGCAGCTGGGAGCCCTCCTCACAGGGGCCCAGGACACAGGAGCTGCCTGAGACTAATAAGGACCAAAAATGGCTCTTCATTGATTTTCTAGAAGCCAAAATTAATTGCCAAAATCCCTCTTTGAATCTTTTGCCTCTTATCCATCAGGCAGCCCAACAATGCTTCGGGAATTCAAGATGGCGAACCGTGAAAGGCCTGCCTGCAGAGTCTTGGGGCTGAGGGTTCCTGCAGTGAGCTCCTTGGAGCAAGTGTTCAGAAAGGCTTGGGGAGAGGACCCTAAGTGTTCTGTTGACGGAGAACAATTCTCATAGCAGGGTATATTGCCTGCATGTCTACGCACTGGCACGACATGCAGTCCCCCTGAAGGCCACAAGAGGGGTTTGGATCCCCAGAACTGGAGCTACAAGTTTTAGTCACCATATGGTGCAAAGAATTGAACCTGGGTCGTCTGGAAAAGCAACAAGTGCTCTGAACCACCAAGCTGTCTCTCCCCATTCCCTGTGGCTTCAGAGATGATTGTGTTAAAGATAAAACTAGCATGCTGTGCTGACATTAACCCGAGCACTCAGGGCAGAGGTGGGTGAATTTCTGAGTTTGAGGCTACCCTAGTCTCCATAGAAGTTCCAGGACAGCCAGGGTTACAGAAAAACGGTCTCAAAAAACCTAAATAAACAAATCTTAATTCCCACGCCGAGGAGGCTGCTTCCTCTCCACTGTTGTAACCAACTCTCCTGCTGGCTGCACATTAAATGGGCTCTGAATTGCAGAATGCCACAGAAGTAGAGGGGACCCACCCAACCATCTTCCAGTGTCCAACAGATGCCCCTCAGAAGAGCGAGCCTGTGGCTGGTCCCGCCCCTCGCTGTGGAAAAATGTATCGCCATGGCCACAGTCTACCTCCTGCCTCACGTGACAGGCTTACGGGGTGCCCTGAATCTCTCCCGCTTCACGGTGGTACCAAACCCTCAGCCCCTCCTCACCACTGCCTCCAAGTGTAAACGTCCCCTCAGGGCAGAAAACGTCAGTACACCAGGACTCCTAGGCCACAGGCTCCAGATGCAAGTGGGCTTCCCACAACTTCAACTCATCAGCGCCTCCTACTGTCCCTGCCACCTCCTGAGAGATCAGGCGGGAATAACCAGTGCTTTAGACTTAGCAGAGGCGAACTTTGAACAGGTAACCAACTCCAGAAGAAGCTCCAGAAGCCTTATCTGTAAAATGTGCACAGTGCTACCCAGCTCATGCGGTCTGAGATTCAAAGGGAGATACGAAGTCCTGAGCACGTGACACTCAGGGAGCGCCGGACAAATGCGCAGCGTTGACAGCCTCTGTTCTTTCCTGTTAGCTTCTCTCAGACCCCGCCACCATGCCCTGCCTCAGGATCAACTTTCCACACGACGACATCACCTGTCACGACAGATCTTTAAGTTCTTTGGAACAAGGAATTCTGCGCTGTACCTCCGGGTTTTAGCCACAAATCACATGTTCCCACACACATTTTTGCAACAGTGTATACATGGCTTCAAGGTATTAAAGACAAGGCACCTGGCAGGTTCACTGCTTCCTGGCCAGACCTCCAAGTGGAGGGCGGGGCTTGGTTCTTCTGGACCCCGTTAGGAGGCACTGCTTCTGTGTGTGTGTGTGTGTGCATGCACGTGTGCGCACATGCACACACATGTGTGATGGGTCCCTTGCTTTGTCATCATGGCAGCAGTCTGGGGAAGCCACCCACTTCCCTGTACCCCTTCTACAGAGCCATGGGCCTGACATGACTGTCTGGGAACATACCTCATGGCTGTAACACACTGTTGAGCATCTCACAGACAATATTAAAATCTTAACAGCAACAGCAATAATCTCACACCACATGTGCAGAGACACTGGCTAAAGCCTCCTTGACACGAAGGCTACAGGCCTCAAGAAACAGAAGCCGCACCTGCCTACGCTCCCAACAGAAACCTTTGCTCACAAAAAGTAGCCGGAAGAGTATAATTATACTTAGAGTTATTACAGAATGATTGTAAGGAGAGTTGGACTTGGGTGACACTCCCAGCAGGGTGGAGGCTGTGGGGAGAGATGTGACTGGTTTTCTCAGGTTGTTTGTGGCTCTTTGATGGAAGCTGCGTGCTTTCTCAGGAAGCTGCTGGAAGTTTGTTCTCCAGGCAGCACTCCGATGCAAGCAAGGTCTGAGGATCCTCGAACTAGTTCAAGATCTGAGTGCAATGACCATCTGAAGGACACACAGTGTTCAGTCATAAGTGAGATCAGAACACAGAAGCACCAAACCCACTCAGCAGGTGTGTGTCTAAGATGCATTTCATTTTGGTCTGTCCTCTTGCTAAAAGCACTGCTTCTCCTATTGGGCTTCATAGGAATGGCAATGGGCGCGACTCAGTTCACAGCTGCTTAGAAGTCTAAGAAGTTTGTGAACCTTTCTCTAAGTGCTGTCCATACCGGAGCCTTGGGAATAGCCTGACGCCGTATAGATCATCGGCACACTGACAGCTGCTGCTTCCATACTGCGGATGTCCCAGAGAGCGGGACAGGCAGTCAGTGGCCAGATGAAACCCTGAGATTTCTTGTGAGTGAGCCCCACCCAGCAGTCCTGGCCCACTGCTGCCTGGACGACAGCATCACTATGATGGGTGGATGTGTGACGTGACACAGGCTCTGTCACCATGCCCTCTGCTCACAACCCTGTGGAATGAAACTGGGTAGAACTTGCTGGACTTATGCTCATCACTGCAGATCCAGAATTATTTTTCCTTTTTCTTTTTCAAGACAGGGTTTCTCTATGTAGCTCTGGCTGTCCTAGAACTCACTCTGTAGATCAGGCTGGCCTCAAATTCAGAGATCCTTCTGCCTCTGGTTCCTAAGCACCACCACCGCCCGGCTCAGAACCAGAATTTTCTTTCTTTTTTTTTTTTTTTTTTTGGTTTTCCGAGACAGGGTTTCTCTGTGGCTTTGGAGGCTGTCCTGGAACTAGCTCTCGTAGACCAGGCTGGTCTCAAACTCATAGAGATCCACCTGCCTCTGCCTTCCCGAGTGCTGAGACTAAAGGTGTGCACCACCACCACCCAGCCAGAATCAGAATTTTCATATGCTGTCTTTGAAATAAGCCGAAGCCAGGGATGCCCTGATCAGGAAGGCTGTAGAAGTCCCCCAGCCAGAAAAACCTGTGACCATCTTGCCTGTTCTAAATGTCACATGCTTCTTTCTTCCACCCAGAAGACAAGTGTTTGAGTTTAAACAAAAAGCAAAACCCGCTTTTATTTGGGGGGCGGGGTAACAGAGGATAAGTTGTTAGGAACAGTTTGCTCCTTTCACACGTGGGTCTTAGGTATCAGGCTCAGCATTGGGGCCTTTACTTACTCACTGAGCCATCTCTCGGGTCCTAAATTTAGAGAGTTATGATTCCTGGAGTGCTGTGGTCAGGAAGGCAACCTTGTTCCTACCAACTTTGTCAAGCAGCAGGAATGGCAGCAAAGCCGATTAAGAAAACTAAAGAAAAAAATGCAAAAGGCAGTCGCATAAGAGGTGGTGGCTGCTGTTCTGATGCTGACACTGGGGACTGTGACTCCCGCCAGCTGGCAGTTGCACCAGACGTGGGCTAACAACAGGAAAGGCTCTGGAGGGTGCACATTACCACGTCAAGGTGTTCGATGGCTGCATGAACTGTGTCTGGGTTTCTAAACCACTTTTGCTGGGAAATTGTAGCACACGCAGCTGAACCTTCTGAGAGAGACTTCCCAATGTTTGTGAAACACCGACCCCTGGCTTGTGTGCAGGGTAGCATTTCTGCAAGTGTTCCTTCCCCGCATTCCCAGATGGAGGCTTCTGTCCCCAGCTAGCCACTCCCGGGACTGCTCTGTTCAACTGCTGGCAGAGTCCCACCGTTACCTCCACATCTAGAGCATGTGCCCCGCTGTGTTATTAACTGCTGACCTCTATGTCACACCACTGTTTTTGTATTAGACTGTCCTTCTGTAAGGTAACTCTCGAAAAAGTGACCCTGGTTATTCATTGTGGGCCCTACTGTTTTCAAACTTGTGTTCCAAGTTTGTTGTCCTCTATTGTTCCTTCAGTCACTATGGTGTCTGCCCTGGTCCAGCTCCCAAGCTACAGAAATACATGATCACACCTTAGCTCTATGTATGCATTTAAGGGAGCATGGCCTCCTTTTTATTGGTATGAGCTTGTTTGGAAGATAAACAACAAAACATGTTTCAAAATGAAAAAGATTAAGGGAAGACCCACAGGGAACTAATGGATGGACATGGAGGCCATGGAGACCAGGGACAATGCACTCAACAGCAACTACAGCCAGCAGAGTGTTTACCTCAGATCCCCTGTGAGCCACGCATGGGGTATGGGTGTGCTGAGGACCAAACTCAGGTCCTCTGCAAGAGCAGCAAATGCTTGTAACTGCTCAGCACATCTCCAACCGCACAGAGAGTAATATTACACACTAAGTGTGGGTGGGGAGATGTAGCATAAACATCTTGGACTCAGTACTCTGTCACCTGGGACCGCATGTGTTAACTTTGACTCTCAGCGGCATTGCCACCGGTTCCCATCAGCTGTGTCTGCTGGGCTCTGGCTGAGAGCAGACCCCTCCCACCTGGTGGCTTCAAAGCTCTGTGGTTCCGGGACATACATTCTGGCTCCACCTGGTCCCATATGGCAGTCACATGATAAATTGATGCCCAAAATGAGTGCCGTGCAAGCTGGACACGCACCAAAATGTACAAACGGAGGAAACGCAACAGTGCTCTGAGCATACTCAGTCGGCAGCATTAGCTGTGTCTGCAGATGCTGTGGGTTTGAGCAACTGAAAGCAGAATTGGTTGACTGATGTTTCTGTTTCTATTTTCTTGGTGGTTCTAGACTGATGCAGTGATGATTTGTTTCTTTCGTGTTTATAAGTTAAACCCGACCCCTTCTCTCCAGTGTTTCTATATACTTGACTTGGAACCAAGTGTTAAAACACTGTTTTTCCTGCTCTCTGCACACTGAAGATCGGACGGTTCACTAACGCTTCACTTTGGCTCTCTCTGTCTGGGGCTGTAATGAGCACAGCACCAAATGCTTTAACAGCTGTCTGAAGACCAGGGCTCAAGAACTCTGGTTCTGAACAGTAGCCCAAGATACAGGATGAGAGTTGGGGCTTGTGGGCTGATTTTTCTACTCCCTAACAGAATGAAAAATTCTAATGACCCTCGTGTGCTAGAGGGGGAAAATGCTCGACCTATCATTCCCTCTTAGTTCATATTAGGTTTTAATCTATTTAAATGTCTTTCTGTGTCACAATGTCACATCCAATAAGTTTGCTTAATTAAAAAAAAGGAATAATATGAATTCACATCCTTTATCTGAAATCCTTGAAATAAATGGCTATGTTTCCAAATTGGTCCATATGTGCATTCCAATACTACAAGCCCCATTCTGCAACCCAGGAGCAGCCCTGCAATTCAAGCTCACCTATAGTGCCAGGCAAGGCTGTGGTAATGCACACCTTTAATCCCAGCACTTGGGAGGCAAAGGCAGGTGGATCTCTGTGAGTTCAAGACCGGCCTGGTCTATAGAGCGAGGTCCAGGACAGCTAGGGCTGTTACACAGAGAAATCCTGTCTCGGGGGAAAAAAAAATCAACTCAGCTACAGTGAGGCGCATAGGACTCAAACCCATGGAGAGGCAGGAGCCCTATCCAAGTTCAAGTTTTGCTGTCAAATTTCTGTGTCAAGGTTTTATGGCAGTAATAAAGATGAGACTTCTGTTTTATGTGGGCATGGGGACACCCAATAATCAATGCTCTTGGAAGGTAAAGACAGGGAGACCCCAAGTTCAAGGTCATCCTCAGTTATATAGCAATTTCAAATTTGAGGCCAGCCTGGGCTACACAAGACTTCATCTCAAAAACAGGACAAAACAAAAACAAAATCAAGACCTTTTCAAGCTGGGCATGGCTTCATACCCCTTTAGTCCCAGCACTAAGGAGGCAGAGGCAGGTGGGTACCTGTGAGTCTGCCTGGTCTACAGAGTGAGTTTCCAGCAGCCAGGACTAAGATCCCGTCTAAAAACCAAAGAAACCCTTGCAGCATTATTTTGTCTCTCTGGCTTTTGGTCAGTTTATTTTACCCATCCTACCCAGAAATCCTTTCTTTTGGCAGCAAACTAGCAGACACAAACCTTCTGGAAGGGGTTAGATATCATTGGCTTAGTCCAACACCCACTCACGAAGGAGATCTGTTACTGCGATGGCAGCAGGCCTGTGGAACAGGACCTTCAGGCAGGGCTGTTTATTCCTGACCAGATGGAGCAGGCATAGCAAAGAAATCTCACATTCTACAGAGAAAGTAAAATTCAAATGTTTGATGGGCTTTGGCCAAGAGTTATCAAACTTCAGTATCCCTGCAATGTTTTTAACAAACAGTAAACAGAAGCAAATAAAACGGGAGAAAAATATAAATGCATGTGTACACGTGGATACATGTGTGTACTCTGTTGGCTGGTTTGAGTCATATGATTCTATGAATATCTTATGCCAAACATTGAGGGTAAAGTGTGTGTGTGTGTGTGTGTGTGTTGCTGTCTACTTTTTTAGACAGTGTCATTCACTGGGACCTGGGGCCCATGGGTTTGGCTCAGCTGGCTGGCTAGTGAGCCCAGGGTCCTGCTCTCTCCACCTCCCCAGTGTGGGGTTACTTGGCTTTTGGGAACTGGAGGTCAGGTCTTCACAGTTTTACAGCAAGCGCTGGAGCAGCTGAGCCATCTCTGAAACCCTGTTTTGGGTTTTTTGAAGCTAGGGTTTTACTCCGTAGCCATTCTGGCCTCAAACTCACTATGTAGCCCAGGCTGGCCTTGAACTTGTGGCAATCTGCATACTTTAGCCTTCTGAACACAGATTAGACATGTGGCCACGACATGGGAATGTTAATGAATTTTCTTCTAAGACTAGCATCGTCAGCATTGTAGAGTTTAAGTTGAACTGTATGTAAATTGCATCAGTTAGACTAAAAATTATAAGCTGTGTGTGGGAAAAAAGCAATACAGAAAAGTTGCATTACCTAACATAGATGCTCAACAATCTCTCTCTCTCTGTCTCTGTCTCTGTCTCTGTCTTTCTCTTTGAGATAGGGTCTCCCTATATATATCGATCATGCTGGTCTTAAACCCTTGACTCTCCTGCCTCAGACTCCTGTGTGCTGGGATTCCAGGTGTGCATCACAACAAGCTCAATTAAAGCTAAGCAATTTTAATTAAAGAAAGATTAAAACTTCTCTCTTTAGTGGCTGGGCATGCTAGGCATGAACACGCTCTCCTGCAGGGAGATAATCTGCATCTGGTTAGGAATGTCCGTGGCACTGATTCCAAAGCAGAGGTGAGACCGGAGCAGCAGGGCCATCTGCCGGATGGCAGAGACACCAGCCAGCTCAGGTGGAAAGGGCCCCAACCCAGACGAGGCAGCTTTTTCTCATTTGCCAAGAAAAGTTCATACTCCCCAAAGATTTTGTTCAAATAGATTCTCCAGACTAGTGTGGACTTGGGTTCTGAGGCCCTCAGGTTTCTGCAAGTCCATCTCTCATAATTGCTGAAGATGGAGTAAGACTCTGGGCAGACCTGAGTGGTCCAGGCCAGTGCAGGCAGGATGGGCAGCAAGCACTGGGCAATCACCATAGCAACGCTCTCTACCCCTGGTCACCTCCGTTCCTAGCCCAGAGTCCCTTTCCAGCCTTTCTTGGCTTATGTTTTTCTGGACAGCTCCCCCTTAGTCAGCAAGCTTAGAGTTTTAGGGCTGGCAGGGAACAGGAACAGCATTGTGGAAACAGAGTGGCAGCCCTGGTGGCCAGGCTTTCCCAGGGTCGAGGCAGGCAAGCAATGGGGTTACGAAAAGGAAGCATGCAGAATTACCTGGAGAGCCTGCCGCTAACACCTCTGTCCTGCTGACAACAAAGGTACGAGACAGGGACAAAGGAACTGAAAACGGAGAAAAACAGGGTGAGATGGCATCAAAACTCAGAGACGCTCACATCCGAGGGGCAGCAGCGGACAACGCCTCACTGACAGAGCATTCCACCCCAAGTGCCAGAGCCCACGAGGTGCTGGGTAGCGGAAGGGACACAAATGACTTTCCAGGAAGAACAAGGCAGGGGATGTGCCACCATGAAGAATCTCATTCTTGTGTTCTTTTCTGGAAAGTTCTTAACACCCCCCCCCCCAGTACCCAAATGGGATCCACAGTCCTAAAACAAGCTTTTCTCAAAGCCCAGGTCACAATTGGGCCTATTTAACTTGAGGTGTAGCTGGCATGGGCTCTAAGAATAGGCCTAAGCCACACTCCAGCACTCACCATGAAACCCAGCTCATTGCCATTCTTGGTTTCATAGTTTGGCCTCATGTTTTGAGTTGCTTGGGATGATTGCATATTTCAGAAGAGGCAAATGTGGAGAATGCCATGCTCAGGCTGCCTGAGGATGGCAGACAAAGGTAAGGTTCCTGAGGTTCATGGCTGCTCACTCAGATGGGAGACTGGCCCCACCATGGGACAACCCCAAAGGCAGGCCACGGGGGATGGGGCATTCTTTCCCACGGTCCTGAAAACCAAGGACTGTAGGCTTTGCCCAGATCACTGGCTTTATTTGACTTGTTTCGAAACAAGGTCTCAACATATAGCCCTGGTTCTCCTGCAACTTGCTATGTAGGTCAGGCTGGCCTTCGGCTTACAGATTCTCTCTGCCTCTGTTTTCCTAGTGGACAACTGACTCTTCATTTATTTGTGTAGTGTGTGTGCGCCATGGCACACGTGTGGAGAACAGAGGGAAACAGTCCTTTCTTTCCACCATGTGGATCCCGGGACTTGAACTCAGGCCATGAGGCTTGGCGGCAAGCACCTTTCCCTGCCGATGCATTTCACCAGGCCACAACTCACCTGAACAGACACCGGCAGGTCTTAATGTGGCCATACCTGTACTAATTGTGCATCTCAATGAATACACAGCCCCCAGGCCCTGGTCATGAGGGTCAGTAAACAGCAGCCTTTGAAACCAGTAGGGGCTTCCTGGTGAGGACTAGGCTCTTGGCCTAGTTGCTGTTTTGGTTGGTTTAAAGGTCTCCTATAGTCTAGGGCTGGCCTCAAACTCACTACATAGCTCAGGCTAGCCTCAACTCCTGGTCTTCCCACCTCCTTTCCCACCTGCTGGCACTAGAGGTGTGCCCCTCACCCCAGGCTTTCTGCCCACTTTTCTGAATGGGATTTTCCTTTCACTACGCTCCAATATGTGCTGAGCTAGTGTTTACGTTAAATAACCAGTAATCAGTAAAAACCTATCGCTCTCACTTCTTTTCAGAGCTACCTTGTAGCTGTGGGTCGGTTAACCTGGGCTAATTTGAGGCACGAAGTCCCAGAGCAGCCACAATGATGGCCCTTTCTGCGCTGTAATATTTCCTCTGGTTCTGTTGCTGGGTTCCCTCTGTTTGCTTTTACCTTTAAGACAGGCCTTGCTATGTAGAACTAACTGGTCTAAAACTTACACTGACCCTAAACTTGTAACAATCATCCTGCCTCTGCCTTCTGGGATTCTTTCTATTTTAAGGGTCATAACACACTGTATGCATAGCACCCCATCCGGCTCTCCTGGTTACTAGAGGACACCGAATATCTTTTCTCACTACCACACAACCCAGGTCTTTCCATGCCCAGTCACAAACCCCTCTCCAGTGTCACCAAGCAGTGGGAATGAAACTCACCTCCAAATTTACAACAGAGACCTGCTAAGAAGGATCACATAGACCTACATCCGTGTGTGGTGACAGCGGGGCAGTGTGGCCTTAGGACTACAAAACCTGCACAGGACAGTGAGTTCACTGGGTCCGTCACACTGCTGGGTGGGACAGTAAGGGAAGGCCAATACCACAAAGACATTAAGGTTTTTCCCCAGTTGGGTAGCCTTCCTTTACGGTGGGTTATGGTTAGCTTTGGGCTTTGTGAAGGTTTCCTTTGTACAGAATGTTCTTTTAGAACTAGGCGTTGGTGGCACATGCCTTTAGTTCCAGGACTCAGGAGGCAGAGGAAGGCAGATCTCTGTGAGTTTGAGGCTAGTCTGGTCTACAGAGTGAGTTCCAGGACATGCACCAAAGCTACACAGAGAAACCCTGTTTTTGGAAAAAAAAAAAAAAAAAGCTTTCATATTTTGTCCACAAGGTGGCACTCTGGCACCTCTGTTTACCTGCTTGACCTGCTCCTGGCCAGAGAAGGCAAGCAATGGAGTATAGAGCCAGAGGAGTTGGGAGCACAGCAGAGTTGGGTGCAGACACTTTTGCTGGACAGGTCACCTTTCAGGCATCTCAGAATCTCAGAGAACTTGCTCAGTTCTCCACAGCATACCCACCCACCCCAAACAGCCCGCTCTCTAGCAAACTCCTACATCCTCAGGAAGATGCAACGGGAAACCCCCAGAACAGCTACATGTACAGCTCAGACTTTGGGATGCGGGTTGGGGGCACTTCCCACGATGGGCAGGAGAATGCTCTGAGAAGTATTAACTCCTGGGAAGAGCTGAAGCTGACCAGCAACTCAAAAGACCCAGCATGCACCCCACCAGACACATGGAGCTTTCACAGGAAACAGCCGGTGAGGGCAACTCCTGGGTTTACAGTCACCATGGAAACACACTTCTGGTGTGTCTGTGAGAGCATGTGCATGAGCTGTAACTGGATGGAGACACGTGTGGGGATGCCATCCATAGGCTGGGGTTCTAGGCTGAGGAAGTGATCTGAGCACAGCATTCGTCCCTTCCTGCTTCCTGTGGACCCAGTGTCACCAGCTGCCTCGTGCTCCTGCCTCCATGATGACAGTCTCAAACCACCACCTGACGTAAACCTCCCTCCCTTGAGCTGCCTTTGTCGTGTGTTTTGTCGCATTTATACAGGGTTCGAGGAGGGGGGGAGGGCTCAGCAGGGTCCCCTGGTCTGCAGTTGTGTTCGGTGTATGTGGAAACCCATGAAGGTGTCCACCTGAGCGTCTGTCTCTAGTGTACTGGTCGATGAGAAGGCAAACCAGGCAGGTCAGCGGGGCACAGGAGGATTGGGGGAGGAGGGCCAAGTCTTCCCACATGGTCCTGTGCCAAGAGCCTGGACCACTCACCTGGAGAGGCCGTGAGGGCCATCACACCATAGTATGAGAAGGCGCTGGCTTCAAACTTCATGCCTTCTTTCCCGGCTTCTACTTCCACCTTCCCCTGGGAGAAAAGGGAGAGACTTTCAGTCTGAGTTGCACATAAAGCTACTTCTTCCTGGGTTTGTCTAGACTCCTCTCCCACAATCCCAAGAAGACAAGCTCTGGAAATAAAGGGAAGGTGCGCTTGTTTCAGCAAGGAAAGCGGGTCTGACTGAGCATGCGGAAGTAACAATAAAAAGGTCAGTATCTATGTGACATTTTCCTCACGTCCCAGCAATTCCAGGGCCTCACTAATAAAAAGAACTGGCTAGACAAATGCCGGGGAGACCCTCCTGGTTGCCCCAAAGGGAGCCTGAGCTGGGATGCGGCAGGGTCAAGGGTCAGCATGCTATGTGTCCATGGAACAGGGGGTGTAAACTGGCTCCAAGACCTGCTTTCTTTCCCAAGAGGAACGCCCTGGGCATGCGAGCAGACGCCTTGCCAGGCTCCCTGTGGGCACTGCTGGGGGGAAGCAGCCCGAGAGTAACCCTCCATCAAAACAAACTCCTGTGAGCTTCCACGCCTCTCCCGCTCTGGCCTGCCTGAGGCCTTCCTCCTCCTCCACCGCCTCTTCCATCCCTGCAGCCTTCAGAGGCGTAGAGCGGCCGGTTCCGGGCTAAAGAGATCTTTCCCAGCGAAGGGCCAGCGCAGTGTGCTCACGTCACCCAGTCACCTCCCCCAGGACATCCTGTGCAAGGGGCAAACCAGCAAGCTGCCACTTGCTAAACAGGAACCAATAAAGCAGGCATGGTGGCATATGCCTATAATGGCGTGACTTGGGGAGTTGAGGCAGGAAGGGAGGGGAGTAGGGAGGAAGAGAAGACAGGCAGGCACACGGGCTAACACTGCACCCCACTGCACAATTCCCTAATGCTCTCAGTCCCGGGAGGCAGGCTCACTGGTGCCTCTTACCATCAGGAAGGAGGGTCTGGGAAAGGCGAGGGACTGAGCGTGCTCTCAACACTACTAACCACCCACACAGCTGTGTCTTTGGAGCTCACTGGCCAGTCATGTTAGCCAATCCAGGAGCTCTGGGTTCAGTGGGAAACCCTGCCTCAAAAGATAAGGTGGAGAGAAGTAATGGAAAATGCCTCTGGCCTCCACACGCACCACTGTGCGCGCATGCACACACACACACACATACACACACACACACACACACACACACACACACACACACACACACACACACGAAAACAGAGTTCCAAGAGACACTTGTTTCCTGCTCTAGCATGAGGGCACACTTTCTGCAGGAAGCCCAAGGAGGGGGAGATCTGGTTGACCCGCTGGTAAGAAGCAAGGTCTAAGGCAGAGACAGCAGACAGGATCCCAGGCCTGCACGGACAGGCAAGGCTACAGAGCTCCTGGGAAGAGGCTAAGGGCTGCTTTGCAGAGGAACAGGGTCCAGGAAGAGAGCCCAGTCCACTTTACTATGGCTCTGCTGAGAAAAGCCACAGGGGAGGGAGGAGGAGGAGGGAACAGTTACAATAGAAGTGTGTGTTTGAGTGCAAAGATGGGCATCCTGGGGGAAACCAGAAGAGCTGAGAAATGAGGGCAGTTTCCAGTCAGGAGATTGGAAATTGGCTGAGGAGAGGGAGGAAGGTTCCTGACTGTCTGAGCTGGAGGTCGGGGTGATGAGAGGGTGACAAAGGAAAGAAATGAGAGGTAAAGACCAGCTGCCATCTAGACAGGACGAGGGCAGGGCGAGAAACGGACTGACGGACACCCAAGAAACCAGGTGAGAGACGTTTCCTGGCAGTGACAGCCACCAGCAGGGTGTGATGGGAGCACAGGGGTCTGCAGAGCTGTGGGGCCTGCAGGAGCACCTCTCCTCAGGGAAGTCAGACAGCTGGAGAAACGGCACCAGGAAGAGCAGCTGAGTGACGGCCTCCCAGGGCCTGGGGCTCCTTTCAAAGCTGGTGTGGAAAGTAGAGAGAGTGGGGGAAGGCGCTGTGGGCGCAGGAAGGGTGGGGCCTACAGAGGGAAAGAGAAGGAGGTGACGACAGGTGGATGAGAGAAGGCACAGGTGCCATGACAGCCTCGCCCTGAAGAGCCCTGGTGTGCATAGTGCTGACACACACCTGGTAACCTCCGAAGCACAGGCTCCCAAAGGCCGGCCCCAGCTCCCATGCCCAGGCATTCTGGGTAATCTGTGTGAGGACAGGAGCTCTCCGGGTAACTTCAGGAACACATGAGGTTTGTGGGCAACAGCCCTAGGCTGGAAACTGTTTTATGGTCTCCAAGACTCCCACAAAGGCGCAGGGTCGGGTTTTCTGACTAAGCAAGGATTCTACACACACACCTGAGACCACAGCCATACTCTACACCCTCCAGGGCAGGCATACGTGGGGTAGGGCCTGCTACCTACTCTCCGCTTGGATGCCGAAGTCTCAACCATTAGCTACAGGGGCCACACTAGGCCAGTGGCCCCCACGTGTGTGGGTTCCAGGAACTAGCAGCAGATATGAACCACTGTGTTTTTATTTCATTATCTACTATTGCCGTCATTTCAGAAAAAAAAAAAAAACCACACATTTTAACTGCCCCCTCCAATTTAGAAAATGTAGTTTCAATAAACACGCCTTCAAACTGAACATGAATTACCCTGGATAAACGTCCTGCAATCATTCTTGTTTATCTTTCCTCCTATTGGTGACAGTGTCATGGCTGCTCTCGGGGGCACCTTACAAAATAGAACAGATGAAAAAGTACAACAGAAAGTGGGAGATGGGGCTCTACAGGAGTCTGCGGTGGGGTGAGCATGAGTAAAATACAGTGCCCACCCAAAATTCCCAACAAACCAACACATAAAAAAGAAACCAGGGCTGGAAAGATGACTCAGCAGGTAAAGGTGGCGGCAGCCAAGCCTGACCGCCCACATTTGATCCCCAGGGTTCTCATGATGGAGGATGAGAACGGACGCCTGCAGGCCATCTTCCGATCTCCACACACAAGCTGTGGCACAGTCTTGGCAGACAAAGTCCAGATTATAGAAAGTAACACATGAAGCTGGGCAGTGGTGGCGCACACCTTTAATAACAGCACGCAGGAGGCAGAGGCAGGTGGATCTCGGAGTTTGAGGACAGCCTGGTCTACAGAGTGAGTTCCAGGATAGCCAGAGCTACACAGAGAAACCCTGTTTCGAAAAACAAACAAACAAAAGAAGAAAGTAACACACGAAAATAAAATCACACGAGAGGGCTAGACAGACAGTTCAGCAGTTGGAGCACTCGTTACTCTTGCAGAGGACCCAGGTTTGGTTCCCAGCACCCACAAGGCAGCTCATAATCATCTGTAACTCAGTTCCAGGACATTGGATGCCCTCTTCTGACCTCTGAGGGCATCAAGTACACACACACACACACACACACACACACACACACACACACACACACAGAGTGCACAGAAATATATGCAGGCAAAATACTCATACACTAAAATAATAACTCTAAAAACATTAAAACCACAACAAATGAAAGGATCCCTACAGTCCAGGGGTTCTGTCTCCATTTGCAGCATTTAAAGCGGTCCCACCCAGGCCGCCCTCCACAGAGGAAAGCTTTTCTGACAGGCAGGGTTAGGGACACCCAGGGACATCTGTTCATTTAAGTGTCAGTAGTTCAAAAAGATCATTTCATATAACCTCAGCAGTGGGAGGTGAGAGCCATTCCTACAGGAATATGACTTAAAATCAACTAGGTGTCTCTGCACACAACTTTTCCATTTAGGGAAGGATTTATGTTATTAATTTTACTTTTGAAATATTCATAAGCTTATTCTATAAAATTACAAAAAAAATCATGATGGGACATGATGGACTCCAGGCTTTCTCAGAGGAGCTAGGGCTGACTGTAAACTGACAGGTTGGGAAGAAGGCCTACCCGGAAATAGTGGTACCACTATAATCCCGATACTCAGGAGGCAGAGATAAGAAGATCACAGGTTCAAGGCCAGCCAGGGCTCCATAGCAGGCCCTGTCTAGAAATAATTGTCAATGGCAGTTTTTAAAAGGCTCTGCAAGGAGGAGTAGCAGTGTCAAGCAAAGATGGCTGCATGAGAAAGACCTCAGGCACAGGCCCCGCCCACCTCCCTCTGACTTCTAAGAGCCTATAGGTGCTAGTCAGTGCCCACCTCTGGCTTCAGTCAGAAGCGATGCTATCCGAGTCCACACGGCCCAATAACCCACATGGTAGATAACCCTGAGTGGTTAGTGTGGCCAACTGAGGCAGACCGAAGACTTCCTCCCACACTGGCCAGCACCCACTGGCCGGTTCACCCTCAGACTAGGTGCTATGCTCACGCATCTTAGATTGCTGTCACAGAACAGCCAGTGGGGCCTGCCATCAGACAGGGTGTGGCTCAGTTGGTAGGGTGCTTGCCTGATGTGTACTAAGCCTGGCACATGCCTGTAAACCCAGCACTTAGGAGGTGTAGGCAGTTCACGGTCATAACTCAACATGCTCAAGGCTAGCTCAGGCTGTATGAGATCTTGTGACAGACAAAAAAGGGGAGTGTGGAATGGAAAGAGAACAAGGAGGTTGGACGCTAAGAGCACAAACATGGGGTGTTTCTTGGCTCTGCCTGTGTGAGCCCTGTGTGACTCTGGGACATGCATGTTCTCTAGTCACGGCTTTCTGTCTGATGGCTGCACACTGAAGCCTGGGATTCTGCAAGTTCACTTCATAATGTATTTTTTTAATTGGTGGCCAAATACTAATTTATGCACATTTTAATCATCTGGTGGACCCTTTGCCTGGTGCCTACACCATACCGGTGCCAACCTGCATCGCTGCTGCACCAGCGGGAAGCTTGTCACACTGGGGTCTGCACTTAAAATCTGCAGGATTCAGGAGAGGATGGAAGGGAGTGGACCTCACAGAGACAGTTCACGCATGTTCACTGCAGGTTAAACAGCAGTGTGTACTGTTCGAACTTTCAGGGTCGCTCAAAGACAGCCAAGGACTACAGAGGTCAATCCTTTAAGGCAAAGTAGGCCACATACTGGGCAGGTGGAGTTGAACA